CAGAAAATAATATATACAGTTATCATTGAAAACTATACATAATCATCACTGAAAAAAAATCATGCAAGACAAAATAAGATGGAAGAACGAACAACCACAAAAGACGGTGATTTATTTATGATTGCAATGTCGACGCCTTTATGGCCTGAATAGCGCACTAAATCATCTCAGGACGGGAAGATCTGTCAAGGTGGAGGAGGAGGAGGAGGAGGAGGAGGAGGAGGAGGAGGAGGTGGTGGTGGTGGTGGTGCAGGTGGTGGTGGTGGTGGTGGTGGTGGAGGAGGAGGTGGAGGTGGTGGTGGTCGAGGTGGATGGGGAGGTGGAGGAGGAAGGGGGGGGTGGAAGTGGTGGGGGAGGAGGATGGGGGATAGAGGTGGTGGAGGAGGGTGAATGGAGGAGGAGAATGAGGAGGAGGAGGACGAGGACGAGGACGAGGACGAGGACGAGGAGGAGGTCGAGGAGAAGGAGGAGAAGGAGAAGGAGAAAGAGAAGGAGAAAGAGAAGGAGAAGGAGATGAAGGAGAAGGAGGAGAAGGAGGAGAAGGAGAAGGAGGAGAAGGAAAAGGAGGTGAAGGAGAAGGAGAAGGTGGAGAAGGAGGAGGAGGGGGAGGTGAAGGAGAAGGAGAAGGAGAAGGAGAAGGACAAGGAGGTGGAGGTGGAGGTGGAGGTGGAGGTGGAGGTGGAGGTGGAGGTGGAGGTGGAGGTGGAGGTGGAGGAGGAGGAGGAGGAGGAGGAGGAGGAGGAGGAGGAGGAGGAGGAGGAGAACGACGAGGACGACGACGACGACGACGAGGTGGAGGAGGAGGAGAAGGTGGAGGAGGAGGAGGAGAAGGGGAAGGGGGACGTGATAGTGGTGGAGGTGGTAGTGGTGGGGGAGGAAGAGGAAGAAGAGGAGGAGATGAAATAAGAGGTGGAGAAGAAGAAGAAGAAAAAAGAGGAAGAAGAAAAAAGAAAGAAGAAGAAGAAAAAGAAAAAGAGAAGTAGGAGATGGCGAAAGACCAGAAGGATGGGAGAGAAGCCCAACGCTGGCAGCGAGATGGCATAGGAACTGTCTGATCAACGTGTCAGAAATCCTCCTGCGGTTCGTTCGTTTTGCTGTTTCATTTTTTGAATTGTTATCATGATGTGGAACAAGATATAGATGGAGGTGAAGGAAAAGGACGAGGAAAAGAGGAAGGAAGAAGGGAGAAGGCAAAAGAGTAAGGAAGAGAGAGAGAGAAAGCGTGAGAATGGGAGAGAACAGGAGAGAGAAAAAGCAAAATAGAGAGAAAGAGAAAGAGAATTATATATAGATAGATAGATAAATAGAAAGATAGATAGAGAGAAGTTGATGAAAGGAAAACCGACACAGGTTTATCAATCACTGTCACAGCAAAAAAGTCTCGAATTATATAAAAGAGAGAAATCCAGCTAGAATTAGACTCCTCTCAAAACGCCACACTCTGTAATTCAGAGAAAATTTCAGAGGTAAAGCAACTGAAAGGATATCATTGTATCATTTCTCTCTGTTTTGAGATGTTCTGAAGGGAGAAATTGAGGAAAAATATATAGGAGAGAGAGGGGGGAGAGGGAGTGAGTGTGGGAGAGGGAGTGGTAGTGGGAGAGGGAGAGGGAGAGGGGGAGAAGTGAGAGAGCAGGAGATGGAATGGGAGAGGGAGAGGGGGAGAAGTGAGAGAGGAGGAGATGGAATGGGAGAGGGAGAGGGAGAAGGAGAGAAGTGAGAGAAGAGGAGAGGGAATGAGAGAGGGAGAGGGAGGTATAGTAGCTCAGGGGATACCAGTGTATCAGTTCTATCTGTATTAAGATGTTTTGAAGTGAGAAATTAGGGAAGAACATGTAGGAGAGAGAGGGAGTGGGAGAGGAAGAGGGAGTGGAAAAGGAAGTGGGAGAGGGAGAGGATGTGGAAGGGCGAATGAGAGAGAGAGAGAGAGAGAGAGAGAGAGAGAGGGAGAGAGAGAGAGAGAGAGAGAGAGAGAGAGAGAGAGAGAGAGAGAGAGAGAGAGAGAGAGAGAGCGAGAACGAGAACAAGAGCAAGAGATAAAGAGCAAGAGAGAAAAGAAGAGAGAGGGCGAGAGAGGGAGGGAGAGAACCCGATCGGCTTCTGCCCGCCATTTTGATTCGATTAGGTCAGCAGGTCAACTTGTATTATTTAGAGATGCAAGTTAGTCCAGTTAGCTTCCACTTTACCTTCCTTTCGCTTTTCTTTTCTTGATTTTCCTTGATATTCCATACTCCCTTGCCTTCCCGGTCTCTCATTATTCTGATTCACCATTATCATCAATTATCATTAATTATCATCATTATTATATTGATAATGATAATGATAGTAATAATTATAATGATAATAATTATAATAATGATAATAATAATAATAATGATAATAATAATAATAACAATAACAACAACAACAATAATCATATTGATAATAATAATGATGATAGTGATAATAACATCACTCATTATTTCCACCATCCTAATGAATAAGAATTATAATAATACTAATCATTATTGTGACATCGTCATCATCAATATCCCACCATCACATTTATCTCCATATCCACCAAAGGCACCGTCATCATTACTCTCATTTCTCATCATTTTCTCCGTCACTCGCCTCTCCTCATCATATTTCATCCTTCCTCATCTCCCATCCTTCA